ACTCTTTTTCTTTCTTTCTCTTTCTTCCTTCCTTCCTTCCTTCCTCTTCTTTCTTTCTTTCTTTCTTTCTTCCTTCCTTCCTTCCTTCCTTCCTTTTATAGCAATAGCAATAGCAGTTAGACTTATATACCGCTTCATAGGCCTTTCAGGCCTCTCTAAGCGGTTTACAGAGTCAGCGTATTGCCCCCAACAACAATCTGGGTCCTCATTTTACCCACCTCGGAAGGATGGAAGGCTGAGTCAACCCTCAGGAAAAGGAAAAGGTGAGAAAAGGAAAGAAGGAGTGAGAGGTAGGAAAGGAGGAAGAAAGGCAGGAGAATGAAGAAAAAAGGAGGGAGGGAGGGAAGGGAATTAGGGAGGGAAGGAAGGAAAAGGTGAGAAAAGGAAAGAAGGAGTGAGAGTTAGGAAAGGAGGAAGAAAGGAAGGAGAGTGAAGAAAGAAGGACGTACGACAGAAATTCTAGGCGCCTTTACAGTCATAATTCAAGGACCACTGTATTTCTGAGCCAGCTTTGGAAAAGGGCATTTGGGAAAAGTCAGAAAACCAACTGGAACAATAAAGACATGCTGCGGAATAGGTAGAAGCAGATTTGCATTTTTGTTTCTTGGGAGCTCCATCAAAGCTGCGTATATCTCACCCTGAGCAATGAACCAGAGATCGTTACCGAGATGGCCCTCAAAGCAGGTGATCTAGTGGATTTATCAACTGCGAGGTGTGAGCGTTGGCCCCCAGGTTGCTAAGAAGCATGCTCTTCCCACATTCAGCCTGCCGGACCTATCCGCACATCCCGCTAAACCATGGTTTAATGCAAGAGATACAAGCAGCGAGAAATGGGTGCTGAATCAGCCCTGCGATTAACATGCTACATTCTCCCATCTCCTCTATTTCAGCCAGGATCCCCCCGGGAAGCATCGAATTCCATTTTCTCCATCTTTGGACAGATGTGAGATTGTGGTTTGCAGCCAACTCCGGTGTCGGGCTCCAAAAACAGGCCAAGGTCAAACCGTAGCTTTAACTCTCAAGCTGGGTGAAAACAAGAGTTCGTCGCAAACCCACAATCGTGGTCCCAGATGCCACGAAGGAGAGCAACGTTTGGAGAAAGCAGAATCACATCCTGCCCAAAATCTTTCAGGCGTACAGGACAGTATCTGGGCTGAAGATCCTTGGCGGCTTCATGCAAATCAACCCAACCATGATTTCAGCGGATACAGAAACCACATTCATACCTTCATGAAAATTTCCTATTCAACAGTCTGCCATCATAGGAAAGAAAAATCAAGAAAGTAAATTACTCTTAGCCGGGGGGGAAATTAGAACGCTCTTCATACAAGGAGTGGAGTATCCATTATGTTGCAGTCCAATGGCGGCCGATTCGGATAGTGAGTTGGTTGGGGAGGAGCATTGGGCCAGTCCTGGAGCCCAGGGAAGGCTGCGTCGGAGGCATAGAGGGGGGCCAGGGCCATCTGGTAGTTACATGCTGCCTCTGGAGCCTCCAGAGTCTGACACCAGCGAGGCAGAAGAACAGTGTGAGCCTGTTCCCAGTGTGCGCATGCGCAGAGCTGCCAGAAGGCAAGAAGAGTTAAGACAAAAGGGGCGACTTGGGAGTAAGGCTTGGAGATGATTGCCCCCCCCCAATAGGACATAAAAGAGGAGCAAATGGGAGGTGACCCTTTGCAGGAAGCAATTAGTTCATCCTGTCGG